TATCACAACTGTTATAGACCTCCTTCAGCTGGGACACATATTTGTTTTCTTCTTCCTCATCCATCCCATAGTATCCTGCCACCAATCTGAGAAGTCAGCAAGGAGAGAGAGGATTGAATAAGTCTTGCTATGCAAGGCATTAAAAAAAAGTTTGTCCCCCCTTCCCAGACAACCTCCCAAAACCAGACAGCCAATCTTACAGCAAAATTAAGTCTCCCTCTCCCATCCATAAAAAAACCCTCAGAGATATAGCATATGATCTCTTGGTTTCCAGTGACCCAGGCTCACCAAGCCTTTCACTAAGAAACTACTTTCACCACCCCAACATGTTGACAGGCCCGACTCAGGCATGCTAAATGAAACCAGCACTCAGACCACCTAGCCCAAACCTTTCTTCCGTATACCACAGTACCCTGTCAAGGTGATGGAGGAAGAGGACACTGAAAGCCCCGTGATTCTGCTCTTCACAGGCAGCAAGCCCTCAGGGGATTCAGGGCCCCACATACACTGCAAAAAACTGGACCCATGGTTTTACAGCCAAAGCCCTGGTAAGTGGCAGCACCCATTTCCTTGACCATCATGAAGGATCAAGATAATTTTTTGGCACATTAGAAGCTCAGATTTCAGAATATGATTGTGCTGATTTCAGAGCATGATTCAGTGGAAGCCACACAATACTTGGACCCCTCCCCACCTGAATACCCAGAAGGGGCAAGGTGGATGAACAATCCTGGAAACAAGTATTCTTGGTCCAACTTGTGTTGGGTGCATGTGCATGCTTCAGTGCCAGATAGTTCAGACACTCAGCAGGGTGGCTCGCAATTTGCATAGCGTTATTCCAAAGATGCATATGGATATGAACCTATTAGTTTTCAAATCACCAGCACACAAGCAAGTCCATCCTCCAGAAAAGTTTAGCCAAGGGGACTCCTACTCAGATCAGAGGTTGCACTTTTCAGACTGTGACTGCCTTGTGATACTTAGCACAACTTTGAAGTACCTCTCAGGAGCCACAGTCCAGGTTGTGGCCTCTCAGGTACAGAGTCACACACCTGTGTCTTGGCCTGATCCTGGCATTCTGGGATCTGAGGCCAGCCCCTGAAAAACCACATTCCTCATAGATACTGCATTCATTCACGATAACAAGTGTGAGACCAAATCAGACCCAGAGTCTTATTAACAGGGCCTCAGAAGGCTCAAAGCTGCCAAGAGCAGACACATGTCTATGGCCGCTCAAGACATCGTCTTGTTAATCCACTTCCTATTGCACTACCAAACCAGAGACCTAAGCAAGTGAAATGTGTGCCTCAATCCCCATGATATCTGTCACAAGTTGCTCTCACTGCCCCCCCCCCCACAACCCTGCTTCTGGAGCGCCACAGCTAGACAGCCTGCAAAGGCAGGAACAGTATCAGCACCACAAAGGGCATCCCTCCAATTGAGGAAAGTACATGGAGGATGAGAGGGCCAATCTCAAGGTAAGACTAGGGTAAGAGAAGATCCATGACCCCATCCAGACCACTTGTAGGCTGAAACTGGGCACAGCAGTTATGAGAAAGCACAAGGAACCTTCAGGCCATGACCAAGGCCTTGAATTGTGCCCAGATCCACGACACTCTAGCACCGTGGGGGGCAGGAAGGCATCCACATACCATAGCATTTAAAGAAATCTTGGAGTATAACCTCAAGTAACAGCTCTCTCCCTTCAAAAGTTGCCTGTCCAGAGATGTGTTACTGCTTTAACCAAACTAGGATAGCTAAAGTGATAGCACCACCCCATTTGGATGCAGTGCTGATATGCTGGGGGTCCCACACATCTCTAGGGTTAGCTCTGCACCCCTCACACCTCTCTGATGGATGCAGAGTTGCCCGACAGTTAACAGATCTGGCCTCAGCTCCCAGCTTTGCTGCTGGTTCCCTGCATAACCTTGGATGAGTTGCTCAAGATCTCCCTACCTGCTTCAGGGATAGTGTTCCCATTTCCCCCTCGTGTCTCTTCACAGCTATTTCAATCACAGAGTGCCTCTTAGTTTGTGCATCGAGGAGCCTGTGGTTTTGCCATGTAACCAGTTACTGTTAACAATGCTGTAACAAGCAATTATAGTGCCACTAACCCAAAATCCTCCTTGCCATTTGTCCCATTACTAAAAGAAAAAAAGTTCAGAAATTAGAACAACCCACATCTGAAGCAGCTGCAAACATAGTTTAAGTTAAATCTGATGATTGCAGGAAAGATCCATAGGGTAAATCAGAACATGCACTGCAGTGAATGGCCCACACCAGAAACTCTGTCTGCCTGCTCCCCCTTCCATAGGCCCAATACATATTCTCATACCTTCACATTTCCACACCTGGAGGTACCCAGCCATTCAATGGGTAGAAATTGAAGGGTAAGGGCCATTCATTCAGCAGGCCATATTAAGCCTGCCAGGTAAGTTAATATTCATTTAATACAAAAAGGAGTAAGTGAAATCCAAGTTTCTGCATACTCAGACACACAACCCTTGTTGAACTGGCCTCCTTATGTCCAGGCTTGAGCCCTCCCTCCACTTACCAACTGTTGCCAGCTCCTCCTATGACCAGCCTAGTTGCTGACCTTTCCCACTGGTGGTGCTTAGATGTATGGAGCAGCTGTGTTATTTGCTCCCACCTGACTGACTAAAGCAGGTTACTTCACACTGTAAGAAACTGATCAGACACTACATTAGTTAAGAGCAGGCCAGAAGCCTCTTGAGTTTGGCTCTGCTAAAAATGTAAGCTGCTCAGATGTGGATGAAGATGGAGACCAAAAAAAAGGAAAACTAAGGTATTTTAGTGCTGAAAGGAAACAGGTCCTGTTATTCCTCTTCCTTCTAAGGAGAGTGTGCATACACATCAAAAGCCATGCTGGGACAGTGCTTGCCTAACACTTTTTTCCTTAAAAACATCTCTGCAGCAAACACCTGTAACTTCTCACAACAGCACTAGCACCCATGCTCATCAGAACAAGCTGACCTACCCATGAAATTCTGACTCAGAATTGCCCCTCAGCAGAGGTATCTCTTTCTCTACTTCCCTCCTTCCCAGGGTACCATTGGCCTGTGCCGACTCAGCCAGCACCCAGTGGAGCTGTTGCCCTGTGGAGTCAGGCCAACTTTCAGGATCTCAATATCGTGCTGTTAGACAGGAGGGTGTGACAATTGCACATATACAAAACACATAAATCAGTTAGGTGCATACACATCCAAACTAGCCTAGGCACATGCATACCCATCACCAATTCAACCACATACACTATACACCCCAAAAGTTAGGCAAAAAAAATCAGTTGTCCATACCCACACACTCAGTACACACACACTGATCACCAGTTCATATATCATGCACACAGTGACACACATATACACACACACACACACACACACACACACACACCCCTGTTCACATACATACAACCCACCTACACATACACACAGGTAAGTTCCTAACTTGGATGGTACAGTGTGTGTGTGTGTGTGTGTGTGTGCGCGCGCGCGCGCTTGGGGTACACCTGGGATACTTGGGGGAAGGTTAAGGTGAGAGAGAGAGATAGAGTTGAAGTGTAGGGAGTGAAAGCTGCTAGAACTGGGATTAGAACCGGTGGACTACAGAGAAGCTGGCTGAGGAACTAAGGTAGATTGGGGCTGGAAACTGAGGCAGACAGCTGAGGGGGGGAGGGGCGGGGTGAAAGGGGCAGATAAGTGGTGGCAAGGAAGAAACACAGTCAGGAAACAGACAAAAACCAAAATTGGGGTTTCAAAATAACAGGTTTAATAAACAGACAAAACACACTGCACAGTCCCATGAAGTTATTGGTTCCCACACAGACAAGCACTCACAATGGCAGCAGGAGAAAGAGACTCAGTGGAAGGGTTGGAGTCCAGGTAGGGAAGAGAAACAGAGTCCAAGCCCTTGGTTGAAGAGGGACTGGGGGTGATAGCTACCTATCCAGGCTGGAAAGGGGTCTTTGTCCAGCAGGGCCTCTGGGGGGATAGGTGGTGTGGCATGGTGCTGGTCCAGATGGAGAGGGCATCCCAAGGAGTCAGTCTTCACTACCCGTTTTTATGGGGCAGACTACCTCTGATTTTCTATGGGGAGGGCCTGTCCAGGCAATGTCAGTCCTGTTCCAGAGGGCTCCAGGTGTTCTTACCAAGCAAGTGCAGCTTGGCACAATGGTGGGTTGCCTCATTTTTTGTTTCTTCAGTGCTGAGGGTGGTTCCAAAGGCTGGGCCCTTGGTCCAGGTATTGGTGTTGATGGTTTGGTCATTCAGTGGGAGCTACTTTTAGACCTACTGCCTTTGTCTTTTGAACACCCTCATTCATCCCCATTCATTCAGGAACCAAGTTACATGGGATGGGTAGGTATGAGTCATAGGTTACACAACCTGGCATGGGGATAAGATGGAAGCTTGACATGACTTATGCTAACTTACATATATAGGCCTAAAACAGTAATCACACAATATAAAAGCAGTAATAAAAAAAAAAATAATACAAACATAATAATCATCACTTGTAAAAACAGTGAATATCTATATCAAAATACCAGGGCACTTATTTGCAAAGAAGGGAGATAAAAATAAAACTTACTACCTAAAATAAAATGTTAAAGCTTATCCTACATCTTAGCTTACTTATACTTATCTATAGGGAATAGAGAGTGAGAGAAGAAAAAAAAAAAAAAAGTCAGAAATGGTTGGAGAAGGGGAGAGAATGCTTTTTAAAATAAATTTAAAAAAAAAGAAAGAAATTGGGAGTTGCTCTACAGAGCCATGATTCTGCCATGCAGTAGGGGAAGCAGAAGGCTCTGAGCATTTTCTTACTCCTGGGCTCAAGGGCAAGGTCTCCTGCTTAGGGTTCTTGCTCTCAGCACATATAGCCTTGATCCCAAAGAACAGAAGTGGCACATTTACATGTCCAGTTTCATTCCTGCACATGCCCACAAGGCCACACTGGGAAAAGTGTCCAGATTCCTGACATCCTTGGGGAACAACATCCTTGGTTTGCATGGGTGTTTGTCATCTGCATCAGCCTCTCAAACCCACAGCAATTGGGACAGGTACTACAC